ATGGTTTGCTAGAGATTAAGAGTCTAAAGGTTTTTCATGATCACACTATTCAAAGTGTGATCCAAGAGTCTGTTCTATCACAGGAAGTCATGAAAAGGCAGTGCTTTTACATAAAAGACAACGAATGTCTTTTAAAGCACAGTCATTCATATTACTATCAAACGCAAATGCAACTCCTTGTAACAGAAGTGGAAGTCTATCGGGGTATCTTGAATCACTATTACATCTTCCCCAGCAGCAATGTTTCGTACTGACCATTTTGTCAAAAAAAACGACGAGAAAATATAAAGAAACTAGCGAGCGTAATGAAAACCGCTTTACATTTACTATGACCTTTGTGTTCTGTTTGTCTGAGTCATGCGGGGGGTCCGATCTCGTGACATCTATTTTTAGTATAACCGCGCTGCGCTATTCGCATCGCTTATTATTTTCCAAGGTATTTTCGTGCGTGACTACAACATTCTGTTTATAAATAACAACGCGTTGTTCTGACCTATAGATATAGTTAACCGAGGTATTCTAAGTCACTTAGATTGTGTTATAAACCAGATAGTGACACTGTTATTATAACTGCTTATCGAAAGGGCCAGCAGCGTTGATTAGAGATGTTAATCGTCGCAATGGTAACAGACCTTCGTCAGTTTTGAATAACATTAAGGAGTTTTCTTTAACACTAACTGATAAATGTGAACCCGTAGTTCGCAGTTCGATCTAGCCCGCTTTGACTACATTAGTTCTTGATGCATGATAAAACCTAAGTTAGAAAGAAAATAAAAAGGTATTCATACACTCGAAACAAACTTGAACTTGCACGGATCAAACAGGAAGAAAATGTACGAGGAAACGACGAGTGTCCGTTTGAAAAGTGCATGATAAATGATGGTGTTGATCGTTAGCACGCGCCTTGCTAAGGACCTGCCAACCAAAGCTAGTGACAGCGCTGTGAAAACAGACGCTTTTCCTACTTGGGTCAAGGGTTTTAAAGACAGGGTGTAACTATAAATCAGAAAGCGAAGAATATTAAAATCAAGAAGCGAGTTAGGAAACCGTGTCAATTTGTTTCAACTCTGGAATCTCTGGCGTGACTTTTTACCTCACCATGAATTAAATATTTATCCAAAAGTAATCATATGGAAAATAATAAGGAATTAGTGAATTTAAATATCAAAAGATTTTGGTATATATTTTACTCTACGCCCACTCAGTGTGTCAACAGACTAGAGACGTTTGCGTTTTGGCTGAGCTTTATAGTTTATATTTATTTTGGTAAACAAGACAGTATCGAAACTTTCTTCTATGATCAATAAGTCACTTCAAGGAAGTTTGTTAGAGTTTCATGTGTTAAAAACGCTATTACAATGCTGTAAATGTTCCAAAGATGGTCAAATACAATACACTACTGTTTTATTAAGGTTTCTCGTAGTTCCGAAGCCCAGCATGGATTGTATTTGAACTGCACTAGAGCATTTTAATGCGTTGTATACCTTTTGAACGACCTCTATGAAACCACAATTACAGCCTCAGCATGCATTTTACTCACCCTTCACACAATTCGCAGTAAAAAAGCCACAATACTCGTATTCCTAAAACGCTATTCAATCCATAATGTTTTTGACAAGTCTATAAATAATCTATATGTCTTCGAAAATAATTTATTCATACCTGAAGTAAAATTTTGTTAAATGTTTATGGCGTGCACGTTGTTGATGTAATGTGTTTTTAAAGCGATTTTCGCCGTACGTTAGCCTCTAAGTAACTATCGATATCTTGTTTTTGCGATTGACAAACGCCATAGTCTTGACTTCCTTGTGGACTTAATGTTTTTGCGTTGAGATTTGAGTGTAAAGGCACGACCAAATGTTCTATTACTGCAGCAGACTTGTTCCTAGGAACTGGGGTGGTCTGTAAGTCTCTTCCCACGACAATGGCGATATTTACAACAAATTCGTGTACCGTAGAATACTCGGCCACCACCTTAAGTAGAAGTTTTTGATACTTGGTGTAAGCCCCTACTAATTGAATTTCGCTGAGTGATGAATAAGTAGGCGCGTTTCTTCGATGTTTAAAGTACTCCAACCCTGTTTTAATAAACAATTCTGCGTCTTTCGGAGAAAGAAATATCAGCATCACCGCTCCACGTCCTTTAGCCATAAATCCATTCCGTGCGGCTTCTGACAGATAGAGGTGTATAGGAGCAGTATGCTTGCATATACGTAAGATAGACTTCATATGACAATCAATACTACCGTACCGACAAACTGTTCTGTGTTCTGGCCAGTGTAACTTTTTACACTCGGGTGAGCAGTAGTGAGTAAAACACGCCGAACAAGACTTGAACGTCAACTCTACTATCCCCAAAAGCTCTTCTTCTTTACGACAAAGAGGGTTTTCGCAGACGAATATTTTCTTTTCCATCATGCGAGGTGGTTTAGGTGGGATTACTCGCGGAGGCTTTGGCGGTGCTTCGGATTGTTTAGGTTGACTCCGTCTGGGTAAAGTGCTTGACTTGTTTTCATACTCTACGATAGGTTTTGGATTCGAGTTGAGATCCAAGTTCAGCGAATTCATCCTTAAAAAGTCGCGCTTCTTCACCGTTGCTACCTCTATCGATCCATCTGTCAAAACAACTGGCTCTACGCCATTACAGTGCGATTCCTTCTCACTCTTCTCCTCATTCGCCATTTCATAGACTTTGTGTTGGATTTTGGAAGGCGAGATAGGCAATATGTCATTATATTCGGGTGACTTACGATTTGATCTGCTACAAGCTCCCTTACCAATGCAAATGTACATCATAGCTTGACTGAATAATACTCAGACTCGATGATAAGAATTAAACTGGGCTTGGCATTTGCTCCACAAATCAATAACTTGACATTCAGATTTATACGTTCGCTGAATATTCCATCGCTTGTACTAAAAAAAAAGCCCAGCTGTGTATTAGAAAATATTCTAGTTCTTAGGCTGTTTCTGATTGGCAGTTTGATATTGAGACTTCAGGACTGTCAATCACGAAGAGAGACACTTTCAAACCCTGTTATCGAAACCATAGTTATTAACTATGTCAAAACTAAGAGTACACATTAATTTATCATTTGTGCTGTGGGAGAAAAAAGCAGTCAACACAAAAATGAGTCACTTTTTAACACGGTTCGCTGGCTACGGAGTCGAACGCGAGACAATAACGTCTTTGAACGAGGCGTTTGGTTTGGAAATTTCTAGCAGTTTCTATTTATTATCATTTTAAGTTCCATATGTTTATCATTGCATTTCTGACCCAGATTGTTTACAAACATTACTAAAAAATATTTGTAAAATTTGATTTGGAGCCCAATAGTGCTGAAGCCGTATGCAAATTCGAGATATGGTTGTCAAATAGATATGTAAATAGCTTGTTATGGGGGCGAGTATCAATCACTACGCTCACGTCACGTCTGAAGATCGAGGTCTTGCCATTGACGTCATGAGTATCACCTCGGCTTCATTAGATGAGTCTTTTAGCCCGCGTCAATTGTAAATAGGCGGTTCCTATAAAGAGCTTTGCACACAACAACGAAATTATTGAACATCCTATACAAATTAACCAGCATTCTGAATTACCAAGAGACTATTACTAATATATTCTATGATGCGTATTGGAACAGTGAATCACAAAAAAAAATGTCGGAATTTGCATTTTGATGGCGCCAATAGTACGAGGCCCGCCGGTGATTGAGAGTGCTTTAATATATTTTAAATATAAATTATGGGCTTTATATTGGTCGAATATTCTAAGGTCATGCAATAGTTCAACCTCATATAATCTGAACGCACGTTCGCTTGCAAGCATGTTACACTAAAGATTGGTCTGTCAATACTTATGAAATTGTTCAGGCCTGTAGTTTTGAATAACTTGAGTGTAATTTCTCTGGAGAGATTCTTCAAGTTGTATCCATATTTATGTATTTTCTCATGCACAATAGCCTGCGTCACATCCGGAATTTTCTTCGTAAATTTTCTTCGAAAATACCGGTATTTTCCGGAAAATTCTGGATATGACACAGGCTAATGCGCAACCGTTAAACACAGAAATGATACTCTAGAGAATGACACGTGGTCGATTTGAAATGTGAAAACATTACACACAAGGTAATTAGGCCTATAGTGAATGCATGACAGATACATAGCTGGGTGTCAATTGGGTGATAACGATGAATTAAAGTGACTAGTAATTAAGTTGCAAGATTATCGAATGCACAATGTTAGCGTAATAATCATTAATACAAACTAGTACGAGTTATAATCAATTAGACTTTAAAAAACGAGGTAATAATATAAACTCAATAAACTTTTACTGCAGTACTAAATTGCCTCAATAATAACCGCTATTAAAAATAATATGCGTTAATAGAAGTTAATAGCTAAATTTTGTTTCACGGGTTTGAGTGAAAATCACTCTACTTCTTAGCCCGTGGCGAATGCATGTTGTGCTCGGCTTTTGGTTTTGAAATCATTACAGCGAGGCTTACAGATCCATAATTGAGCTTTATCATGTATTTCCAAGGATTTCTCTAAAACTCACAGAACAGAAAATATAACCGTAGCTCGAAAGAGCATGTTAAGATTAGTAAAACTATGAAGTTTGAAGAAAATTCACGTTCTTCATTAAAAATTCATATCTTCGCGAGTTTTCAAACTATTTTCATTAAACCTCACCGTCTTAATAATTATATACTCTTTCCAGCTATGGTAATTTCTGTTATACTAATTTCAAGATACCTGAAAAAAGCTCATTAACTACTACATCATAAACTTACTAGAGGCTTTGCATATCATCACGTGACGGCAGCCATGTCACACCACTTAACAAGACCAACTGACTTAACTTTCCTTTAATTCTTGCTTCGAAGGGAAAAACAAAATCTACTGTAACTCTTGAAATACTGGACGGATTTGCCTCAAACTCATCCCAGTCCCACAGGGGATCAATACAAACAAGTAAATTTTAAAAACGTTTCCAAATGCATTTTTAGATACGGTCATGATATTACGGAAGCTTCTAGGGATCTTTTTATGTGTTTCAGAGTGTAACGTCCGTAACGAAATTGTGTAACTGGTGTCCCAGAAGCAAAGCACGTGTGCCAAGCTAGAAGCTTTTGAGACTGTAATAAAGTTTATTTTTATTATTATTATTAACGTCCGCAACGTTACCATAAATAATTTTTCTGCAACTTTAAATCTAACAAATTTAATAACCATCAATTTCAATGTAACGTGCGCAACGCTGATTTTAACCCGTGCAGATTAAATCGATGTTAAAAACCGTTTTAGTATTACTTCCGGTCTGGCAAACTTTGGGGAACCTCATAATTCGGTTTATGGGTAGTTTCCCCCGGGGGGGGGGGGGGTACTCCCATATATGGACTATACCGGGATGATCTGCTGAACAGGGCATGGTTTTTCGAGCTTCTTGTCTTAAACAGGGTATGCAATTTCACTCAAGTTCCAAGTTCTTCCTGAG